GGTGACTTGTTCAACACTGCTTCAATATTTAATGTATCATTCAATACAAATTCAGCAATAGAAATACACTTTGAAACAAGTGAAAGGACAGGGATATTAACAAGCTAAAGTTATTTTATAATAACTATACTTAACATAAAAGATAAAATGTTCTAAAATGAACAAACATCTAAGCGTCATTTAATAGCTAAACATTGTAAACATAGATTTTTTTTTTAGATAAAATGGTTTACCTTCCCCCCCTGCCATCCCCTCGTTTGAATTCAAACCAATCATGCGCTGCGCTCTCAGCTAAGCAGCCTGCGATAAGTGAGAGTTATAATGGCCGGCACAGCAAGGAGCCTCTGCCTCGTCAGTCACCTACTGAGGTCTTTTCTGCTCCACACAATAGCACCATAAATCTTCCTGAATAGTAACCTACACCCATGTTGTTTTTAGGGTCAGACGTGGAACAAAAATCAACTCTAGTGTCAGACAAGGACAAATCTGAGACCCTAGGAAAACAAACCCGTGTTTTCTTTTTTATAAATTGGTTGGGAGCAGTTACTGATATATTTTGTATAAGTGACCCTTAAACTTGGCAAAAACACAGAAGTTTCAAATGTGATTGCAGTTACTCAATTAAATAAGCTTTTAAAGCTCTTTCACTTTGGATTTAGATGTACTCATGATACTGTTAATGGATTGGACGTCGGCCTAATCGAGCCTCATGTCGAGTTCTCTGATTGAGCTCCCATCACAAGGTCCCGCCGCTGATTATCTCCGTAAGTGCTTCAGTCTGTGCCAAAGACCAAGTGAGAGACAAGTCACTTTGCAGGGATGACTTATTGGGATCTGGTTGAGGAGCACAAAGCCCCATCGTTTACACAAAGCTAGCCAAATTGTTAGCGTTCATGCTGCTCCCTATACAGTGAACTTGCCTTGACCTGGCCGTGTGTATGGTCCAAAGTGTCTGTCACATCCTCTCTCACTAAACAGATGCAGGTATTAAATAGGGAGCCTCCAGGGAGGTTCACAAGGTTAATGAATCTGTAGCCTTAAGCAATATGGCTCCAGATTCACCCTTCATGGATACAAGAAGCAGCAGACCCTCTCCTAGACGAGCAGATGGGTCCTGTGGCACCGAGCGTCGTGGGTCGCCTGTACTGAAACAGCTCCAGATGAATAGAGCTCTAATACTAGTCTTACAATATTTGCTTCTAATAAGATCACTTTCTTTGGTTGAGTACTTAATAATAATAATAATTGATTACATTTATGTAGCGCCTTTCAAGAGACCCAAGGCCGACTACTTGCTGTCAAATTTAAGATTGAATGCTTATTAATATTTCATACTTTCTCTTCAGGTCTATTCTGCGTTTTTCTTCAGGATGGATTAGGACACTACATGACTAATTTGACAAACAAGCATGTACTTGTGACATGGTATAAAGGGGAACAAGTAAAGAAAACGGGATAAGTGCGCCATTACAGCAGTTTACTTGCCCCTCATGCCCTTGCTAAGCCTCAGATCTGTCTCTGGGGTTGAGGAACATCCATCTTGTCCTTTCAGTTGCTGGCCTCATTGCGGGCTTCACACCCATGAGTCATCCTGTATTTTGGATTCCCCAGATACCTTTACTTTCCCAGAGTGCTTTAGGGGCCTCTTTATATTGACATAACTCGTATGAGCCAAGTTTTTTGTTTGTTTCAAAGTACTTTGTCACTGTGAGCAGGCACCTGAGAGACGTGTTCAAGTTAAAGAGACTACAGATTTGTTTTTTTTGTAGGACTTGGGTGATATACTCCAAACATGTTTACTTAGGAGCCTTACTTGGTTTGTACAAGTAACTTCACAACTGAGCACCAGCCTGTCCTGTTTTCATAATGATCATATATTTGATATTTTAGAACATTCAAAGGACCAAATCAATATTATGTTTGCCATTCATTCAACAAGCTTTTTCTTCATCATAGAGAATACAACCCAACTAGAAATTGCTACTCTTAATCAGTCAGTTTGAAGATGAAATGTTAAAAAACTTGTAAAATACAATTTTACAAAAACTATTTCCGCAAACAATCACCACAGTTGACAGTTAATTGTACCATAAGAAAGATATATAAACCTGAGGGCAATGTCTGCACTGGAGCCATTGTACTTATTGCACTTGAATGAATATATTTACGATTTAACGATTGTATTTATTTAGGTGTCATGTGGAACTAGTTTAAATTAACTTGTTACAAAAGATTCCATTGGATTGCTTGTGTTTGCTCGTATTGCAAGTGAGGGGTCATTCAAGGCCTTAACACTTTCTGTGAACTTATCCACAACTCATCATTTGTTATCTGGTGTCCGTAGTGACCATTTATAACATCTCGTCTAGACAATATGGCTGTGTGCATGGCGACCACTATCACTTGGGCACCAAAGTTCAATGCAGTGTTGAGATATTTATGCATGCAATACTGTTCCACAGAATTGGCCATTAAGTGTCCTAATTTATCAAAGTGCTAGCTCGCCCCCTAAAAGCACCCCTCTGTCTTTTGATTAAACATTGAAAAACCTCTAGAGTTGCAGAAGGATAAGCCCTGAGAACATGGAGACCTGGGGGGGTGGGGGGTGTGTGACACACGCTGGGCTGCCATGCTTGTTGTTGCAGTCTCAGCAGGCGTAAAACTGAACAGCCGAGAAGGAAGGAGATATTACACAATCATGAACGGGTGTTTCAGCCTCCCACTCAGCGAGAGTAGCAGCACGAACCAAAGCAGGCTCGTAGGGAAGGAAAGATTGACACGGACATATTGGTGGTTGAGACCCAGGGGGTGGACAGAGACAAGGTTGTGACAGCAAGGCACAGATGCAGAGATCAAAGGAAAAGTCAGTAAAACCAAACCAAACCAAACCAAACCAAACCAATCTACTCGCTTTTGCAAAGGTGAGACAAATGACCCTACACCTACCTACAAAAATGCCAGTTACCCAGTCATTATGCAAGATGGACAGCTTGCTGGTGAACTACAATCTGTGTGCTACCACCCATCAATTCAACAAAACACACCATCTGCTAATTTAGCATGGAGCCATAGGTGTGTTAGCCAACTAGCCAAGTTGTAGTCTTTGCAGTGGAAGGTAGCGGAGAGACGCACTTGTAAATCCCTTTTGATCCTGCATTTTGTTGTTGAACGACCATGTTGTGCAGAAATTGTGTTTCCCAGCAGGGCATTTTCTCAGCAGACAACCTGGGGCCACTAACTGAGCCCCCGTTAGTCTTGGATTTATTAGCTACCGTAAATATTTGAATGAGGTCCTGTGGGAGTTGTTGCAGTGATGCAAGCTCTCAACCAGAGACACCATGTGCTCTCTGGTGTTTACTTTCTAAACGTCACCACCTATGTGGGAGCTCAGGGGGAGGCGTCCTGCGCTGTCGGGATATAAGGAGTAGTGAGTCCAGTTCTATCACAGGAGCAAGCTATGCTGTGTTTACTGACTGCAGCTGTTTCATGTGTATGATCCACACACGTGTTGGTAGATCCACAACTCTGGCCTACAGCTAAATCATAAATAAATACTATTTACGTGGTAGAGAAGTTCATTTCCCCTTCAGAATAAATGTAGCTCCAACTGTACTTTGTGTTTAGCACTAATTAGCAAATGTTAGCACGTTCACATGTGGTTCACATCGTAAAACATGACACTCTTTAAACAACATTTTATCATTGCCATATCATGTTGGTGTATTAACAATTAAACATAAGCATTTAATTTACACTATTTAAATGGTTTCAACACTTTAATTTACTTCTCCAACTTCACGGTTTGGTTCACTCCCCGGTTTCATAGCATCTTTTTGGGCCAGAGTAAATAGCTGTTTACAGGCAAGAAATCCGTACTAAAACAGTTAAATGGACAAAGTAACTAGTTAGTGAATATGGATCATTAAATAGCTTAAGAGTAACATAGGTTGTGTTGGTGTTGGAGACCAAAAAGGAGAACAAATTGGATCTGCCGAGTGGCCGTAAACATGACTCCAAATAAAGGCTAATGTAGCTTCGTAACTAACTAGTTCACCATACAAACTAAAATCTTTCGATGTGATGTTTACAGCTGGTTTGCGCTTTCTTTATGTGGCCAAAAAATGTGACACTGCTTGTTTAAGAACTATACCAAAACACAATTGTCCAGTTTATTTTAATCAGAAAGCTATACAGCTTAATATGTCCTGTGTAGTACCGTTTTCAAGTGTTCTCCAAGAAAGACAATCCCCTACTTAATAAAATAAAATCCCATTATACATCTACATGGGACCTTATCTGCACGCTCACATTGAGGCCAATCGAAGTCAGAGAGCAGATGTGTTCATTGCGCCTCTTTGAGACAAATTACAGAGATGTCTTGGGAGTCACTGTTCTTTCATTTATTTCCCCACATAGCCACACAATTAGAGCCAAGCCGCCATATTATCTTCTTAGGGATCTCTCTCATGATTGTTGATGACGGCGTAATTAAATACAGGGATTAAAAAGGATTCTGACATGTGTTTTATCTCACAGAAAAACTTGATGGGCTGCTGTGCGAGTTGGACGTTCACTTAGTTTTTAAAGATTTGTGAAAGACTGTTTGGTTAGCACATGATGTGTGTGTTCGTATTGGCTGGCTGGTGGTCTGAATGGTTTCTGAGTTTTCTTCGGCAGTTTGGTTAAAGAGTAAACAGTTGAAGCCTAAATATTTGTGTTTGTCATCAAAGCTGTAGATGAAGCCATCAGTGTGCTAAAGTTGCAGGACAGAGATTAAACCATGATAAAAAAATGTTAACTTTTGATTGCTTGATTTGTTGTTTGCAGTAAATTCAAACCATCCCACAGAACGAACCTCGAACAGCTGTATCAGTTCTTGTGCATTTGTAGGTTATAGCGTCAGAAGTTGGATATGGATCTGTTACTCTCGCTCCATTTCATGCTTTTACATGTTCTTGGATCATACATAAAGAAACAACCTCTCTCTCTTCTCTCCGCAGATCCAAAATGACTTTTACTAAATGGCCACTGGTCGGAGCTTAGTGCTGATCCGTCGGAGAGCACTATGAGAAGATGACAACAAGCAGGATTTAATCCAGAAAGGATTCCTCATCTCTGTGCTAAGAGTCAACTAACTGAGTGTAAGGACCACTGGGAGTACAAGAATCAAGTCAAGGACACGCTTACTCCCCCTCAGCCTGCAGGAAGATGGGAGTGAGAGAATAAAGCTCTGTGGAGTCAAGAGGAGCTTAATGAATTCTAAGGAATCTTAAAAACAGAGGATCAGGCAACCATGTGGACACTAGCTGCGACTGTCCACTGTCTCCTGGCTGCTGCGATGCTATTGGCTAGCTGCCTCCAATCGCTGATGGCCACTGAGGACGACGTCACACCGCGCATCAGTTTCTCCTACAGTAAGTTTGAATAATTATTAACAATTTTTATATTTCTTGTTATTATCGCCCACTAACAAGCCCCTCCCCTGAAAACTATTGTCCAACTACAGCTTCAAGGCATTGCAGGTTTGTCATGCTTTGGTTTTCTTAATGTGGTGAAAAGAATTGCGTAGTAAGAGTGATATCTTTTTTATAGTTTGGAGGAAGATTTCTTTATTTATCCTTTAAAAAAGATATGCGAAAATGTGAAGACTGGAATTAAGATTGGATTATTCTGCTCTAATGTAAGATTCCCAGTCCATCTAACTAGCCAGTTAGTTAAACAAATATCAGTCTGAACTTATAGTTATTGTTCAATGTACAAAAACCAAGTTCCACACTGCAAAAAAAGTATTTTTATTTCCATGTCCTCAAATGGTGAAGGTGCTGACTTTTTGCCTACAAAGTGAAACTTTCCCCTCCCCCAATTGCATATGTATGACCCTGTCTGGGGTTGTTTTTTAAAAGACCTGTACACCTTATTGGTCTTATTTCCAACAATCTCATTAAAGCTAACGTCATCCTAATACGCTTGTCAACAACACTGAGAACATGCCATCCATCAACATTGCTGTTAAAATTAGGTAGCCTCAATTTGTCTATCTGTACATGCAGCACTTACTTAAGGCGGTGGGGTTTAACAGTCTGTCACTCCACATTAAATAACCACATTTAGACCAATGGTGAAAAAAAAGACAACAACCACAGCTTCAACAAATTTGCAGTGAAACACCCTCTGACATGTCACAGAGACCACAGGTGCCTTCAGGCTCACATGTACACATGCCAACTTGAAGAAACAACAAACTTACAACACAATTATAAGTTTGTGCCCTGAAGGTGTCTTTAAATATTAAAGTAGCTGTCACTATGCATGGAATTCACTGTGTGTTTGTTTTTTTACCCCGAGCTATGACACATTATTGGGGTGAAATATGCATGGCCTGGGTGAAGAAAACAATTTGGGGCCCTGTGAGTATTCTTAGACTGCCTTCATGCTTTCAAAAGCATTCATATTTCCCAAATGTTTGACTAGCAATTGAACTTGTGTTGCACAACTATATGCAACAAGTTATCCCAGAAATATAAACCTAATGTCTCTCCTGGCAACTCCACTGATTGACTGGAGGACCTTTTTTCACCTGACTTCATCATTGCATGTAATTACTCGCTGCAGCACTCCTGTTATTATAATGACTGTGGATTAGGCTTCTATAAGATAAAACATTGTGCTGTTTTCACTATTTGCTCAGCTAACAGCTTTTTCGTAATTGATTGATGCATTATGGGAGCTTATGACAAATGAGGGGACAAAGAAAAAGGTTGCTGTTTGGATGCGGCGCACAGTGGAAAATTGACTGGGACCGCTTAACACCTATTTTTTACCATCCTTCATTGCAACTTTTAGAAAAGGACAGTTCACGAATTGATTTTTAAATGAGCTCCGTGGCTCCTACAAGATATTTTTATCCTGTCTTGACTTTGTGTTTGCTACACTGCTCATACAAGAAAATGTGCCGATCCAGCAGCAACCAAAGTACAGGCTTACACGGATGAAGGCGTGTGTCAGCTCCTGTAAACACTACCTGTCTGAATTTGAAGTTCCTCCCACTGAAAACAACAATCTGATGCATGTTTTTTTCCCCTCCTCAGCTAACTCACTGAGACATCATGCAGTTATACACATCTCAAATTGGCATCGCTCATACCCAAAAAACAACCTTTCAAATACTTGAGCCTTTTAACTTGTCTCTCAAAGAGCTAAATGGATTAAATTGGCCCAAGGCTGGTTCCTAGCAACTGAGTGTTTTGCAAACCACTGATGTTTCTTTTTTCTTTGCTTTGCTTTGCTCCATTCAGCAGTCATAATCTAAATGTCATGTATTTTGACGGCGGCAGTTTGAGATTCTCTCAACTGGAGAGCATAAGTGGTATAGTGTGAGACTTGCTTTTTCAGCTGATAAAACAGTGTAGAAAATCGTATTTAAATGTCACTGACGCCGATTGTAACCTAATTATTAAGGGTACAGCTTTACATAAACCGGGTCTGCAGAATCACTGACATGCTTAACGTTTCGTATATAAAACCAGCCTCAATTCAACTCGCACCATTGAAGCAACACATGTAAAGCAGGTCACTGTTTTAAACATCCAGTGTGGTTTGTATAGTCTGTAAGAAAAGGGCGACCTGGCTGTTTTCTCTCGAGGGGACCCTTGCCTCAACATGGCCTGTTTCCTGGAAAGGCGTCCTTTTTCTTTTGTCCTCGTTCCCTCTCCTCCTGCTCATTCCTTCTCTCCTAATGAGCAGGCTAATCCCTCATGTGTAGTGAGTGGAGGTTTTTGTGGTTGCTGCAGTGGGAGAGCCTTGTCTGTTTTTCATTAGGGCTCTTGTGCAGAGAGACGGCACAAAGGATCATGGGACTTAAAGCAGCAAGCATCGGTTAGGCATGCGGCATGTATCGCTGTTGGTTATCAAAAACTTTTCAGGCAGGATGTTACTGTCTTTCTCCAGATATGAGTGGAGGAGATGATTTATTTGTCCTCTTTTCTTTTTCTTTCCCTTGGAACAAGAGGGAGAAATTCAAGCTCTGCACTTATTAAGAACAGTTTACATTAATGAGCTGGTTGGCAGCCTCCGTGATTTCTCTCTTTTTCTTTTTAGCACATGAACTGTATTGTATGTCGCCCTGATTCTGGTTCCTCTTAAATCAACAGTTTGACATTTTGGGAAATATGATAATTTGCATTCATGCCAAAAGTAAGATGAGATGATAGATACCACTCTGATGTCTGTGTGTTAAATATGAAACCACAGACAGCAGCTTAGTTTAGAATTTAAGACTGGCTGTAGATTTAGATTTACCATACAGACATGAGAGCGTATTTCCCAAGTATTCCTTTTATTAATCAGCTACATTTACTCCAGTGTTGTTTAGATATATAGTTCCTCTGATAAATTAGAAATCATCCTATTTTATATATTCCTCTAATCAGGTGTCTTTGTGTAATTTGGGGTATAGATAACCTTTTTAATATCCTTTATTCTGCATGCCTTTTTTTCTTCCATCAAACTGGGGTGATTTAGAACAATCAGCATTAAGAATCCTTAAGGTTCATTAATAACTTACTTTGATTTCAATCATATTTAATTAACAGTTGTATAATAATTGACATGGTTACCTGGAAGAGAAAAGGCATTGTACACAACAAAGCCTGATTTCAGACCTACAATATCACAATAGGCCTCCTCTGTCAGTCAGTATCAACACGGTATGTATGTAATGTACTGAAGGTATAACAAAGGAAATATCCAGACAAGAAGTCTCAGTACTTTCATACTGGATGCGAGCAAAGAAGCAAACCGACGCCCCTTTTTTCGGCATAGCTACCCAGCATGCTGTGTATGCTCCGTGGACCCTGTGTCCTTTCTCGTTTACGTTTGGTTCATGTTTGGAGAATATTGTGCGCTTTCTCTCATGCATGCTAATCCGGTGACCTTGGCAGTGTGTGGGTTTGCAGTGCAGAAACAGAGGAGGGGCAGCCAGAGGGGGGGGTCAGTCAAAATGCTCGTGACATGCTCCGATGCCCACCTAAAACCCTGCAGAGGACACGCCCCCTGATCCTGAAAGAAAGGCAGTCTGTGGCTTCCAGCTGAGGTGGCACTCACAAGTGCCTGCATGTAATGCCATAACAGGCGCAACAATGGAGCATAATTACAACACATCAATTCCATCTGTTTCAGAAGCTTTAATGGCTTCATCACTTGCACGCTCCAGGGAATGTACAGAAAAGTTCAGTCTTCGCAGATTTCCATCAGGAGCATTTGATTTGAAGACAATGGCGAGCAGCGAGGAGTAACAGTGTACCGTTAATGAGGATAGGCAGAGAGGAATGTGAGGTTAAAAGAGTCATTATGTGTTTTATATTGGATTGCTGGGACGCAGTGTAGATTTTTTGCAAGACTAAAACATGGTTTGGTTTATCACTGACCTCTGCATCACTGATTTTCATAGTTATACAGTTACTGTGACACACACAACTCACCATTTTACGATTTAACTTTTCATGGTTAGATGAGGCATGTAGGATTTATATGGATTCTGGGCTGCTCGCTGTAAATCATTCTAGACAAGTCACACAACATAACATTTTGCTAAATGACACACAAAAACAGATGCTTTTTGTCACATTTCAGTGTCCACTTTGCTAAAAAGCATCTTCTTTTTGGTATAAAACTCAGCATAAAGAAGCTTTGAAGCCGCTTTTAAAGGAAAATCTGGACGGATTGGATAGCTATACAATCTTAAAAAAAGCTAAGTGTAAATGCACCCTAATGGCAATTCAAAATGGTTGAAATCTAATCATTTGAACCACCTCTTGTTGTGGAAAAAGCTGTAACTTCTCTGTCAAACATTAATTTTCTTTGTATTGAAAAAGTAATAATTCAGGACTAAGGAGAATTACAAGCTGGCCAATATTAAAGGTAGGATAGGTAAGAATGGAGAAACCAGCTCGAGTGCGCTAGAATTTGAAAGTACACAACCGGAAAAAATCTGCCCCTTCCTTCAGACTTCCTTACAGAGCCCCTCCTCCAACACACACGAACGCGCACATGACCAATGAGGGCACGAGATAAGTTTGTGCACGAGATGGAAGGCTGACAGGCAGGTAGGCCATCCAGTTATTTTAGCCTGGCCGGCTCAGATGATTGGTCGTGCTTTTTACAGCGCTACGGCTTCCACAGATGACATGTTTTTAATGTATTTATTGTCAAAGCATTTAATATATTCATTGCTATCGGGATGTTAAGAGCATTCCATGGAATATAACTAGTGTTTCTGAAGTGAATTACCTACCCCACCTTTAAGTTTAATTTAACCAATTTTTCTGTCAGAATAATGACAAGAAACTACACTGTATGGTATTGTTTGTAAAACTAATTTGCATCAAAATAAAACATAATATTGTGTTGCCATTGC